AAAGAACACAACCTTGTCGCACACCTTTAAAAATTTTAAACCATTCAGTGTTCCCATGTTCTGTTTGAACAACTGCTTCTTGATCCAGGTACAGATTCCTCATGAGCACAATTAAGTGTTCCGGAATACTCATACTTCGCAATGTTGTCCATAGCTTGCCATGATCCACACAATTGAAAGCCTTTGCGTAGTCAATAAAGCACAGGAAACATCTTTCTGATATTCTCTGCTTTCAGCCAAGATCCATCAGACATCAGCAAAGATATCCCTTGTTCCATGGCCTCTTCTGAGTCCGGCTTGAACCTCTGGAAGTTCTCTGTCAATGTATGATTGTAGCTGTTTCTATAGGTGCTCAATAAATATAATAAATATGAATGGAAGAATGCTGAAATAATAATCAAGTGATTGGATGGAAAGGCACTTGTACTTCTTCCCCAAGGCTGAAAAAAAGATCAGTACTGTGGAGAATGCAAAATTAAACAGAACATTGGCTCCAAAAGTTGGAGAAGAAAGGACGTCTAGCAAGAGAACAATACAAGGCAAACTATGACCAGGTGTTAGATGTGAGGCACAGTTTCAGAGGCTAGCAAGAGATAGGTGGTGGCCAAGAAAGCCTGAGGGCAGGAATCAGGCCCTACTCATTTCCCGTGCTCAGCACTAACATGGTGGGTGCACAGTAGGTGCTTTATGAGCAACTGTAGAATTGCACCAAATAGACAACCCACCAAGATATTGCCAGTGAGATAGGAGAGATACAGAGACATGTATAATGTAGTATCTTGTTAAACATCAAGTTCTGAGTCTATGTGAATTAAGAGATTCTTTTAAATCCAGAGTATTTAAATATAAAGCACACATACAACAAAATAATATTTTGGCTAAAATCCATGCCATTTAATTATTCAACCAACAATTGAGCATTTTTAATGTTCCAGGCCATGACCTTGGCAATAGGGGTGGAGATAAATCCTGGCTCTCAAGGAGCTCACAATCTAGCAGGAGAGAAAGACAAATAAATACAATGTAGTTGGATTATGCAAAGAGGATCATATGGGAGGTACAGAGTAAAGTAACCTAAATCCTAGATAATGCCTATAGGGAAGAAAGACCTGGCCATTGGGCATTTTTGTGAAGAACAGATAAGGCAAAGGTTCTCAAAAAGTGTGGCTAGTTAATTACCTGCATCAGAGTCATCTGGATTCCCAGCATTTCTTTCTGATTTTTTAGGTTAGGGGTGGGGCCTGAGAATCACATTTTTAAATTCTGTAGGTAATTCTATTGCAAATTAAAGTTTGAGAACCAATGACATAAGATTTTCTCTTTGAAGTGGAATGAAGAATGATCTGTACATGTGAGATGCTACTCTGTGTTGGTCTTTAGTGGGAGAAGGTGCAGGGGAAGTAGAGAAGAGGATGGAGTTAATATTTGTTAAGCACAAAGGGTTAATCTAATTCTCACAAAAATCCTATGAGGTAGACGCTATTATCCCTGTTTTACAGATGAAGAAACAAAATTAGAGTTTAAGTAACTCGTTCAACATTATATAGCTAATGAATACTCGTACCGACATTTTACTTAACTTTAAAGATGGCCCACTTTCCATAATACTATGCTGGCAACAGGGGACAAGTGTACTGATCAAATGTTATAATTTTAGTTCTTTTCCAGATCTCTCTGTGTTGTGGGCCATTGGGTTGCTTCTGTCTCACAGTGACCCTATAAAGGGTTTCTGAGGATGGCTGGTAGGTTAAACTGCCAACCTTGCAGTTACTAGTCCAGTGCTTATCTTACAGCATTCTAGGCAAATCTGAAGAGCAGCCAGAAAAATACATCAGTCATGTCCAATGTAATTATCCATACATATATGAGGTGGCTTTAAAAAGTTCACAGAAAATTTGAAAGAAAAGATAATGGAATTTTTTCCTTGAACTTTTGAATCCTCCTCGTATATTCTTCTTTGGCAAGTGGGGATTAAGGGCAAAGCAGGACAACTAATAAAATGAACAACATTTCTTCTTTTTCCATAATTTCTCACAGACTTCTGGTGGAGGTGCTATAAAAATATAGTATGACTAAGAACTGGGTCCATCTGGAGGGAAAAGCAAACAGAACTGCATACCCTCAAAAGCAACTCCACATCCTACCATGGGCCACAAGATATGAAGGTCAGAGGCCATTTAAGGGAAATGGCAGGGTTGGTAAGATCAAAGTGTCTTAAAAGATGAACTGCCAGGATCAGAGGTAGGTCCCGAATTTTCATTTGGAAACAGCTCAACCTTTAGAGAAATTGTGAAAGGTTAGCAGCTTCTCCGGCTAAACAGATACTGTATATCTCACTCTTCACAGACTCAGAGGTACAATCAGATACAGCTCAGGATATAATGGTAAATTCAATCTCTGCTGGTGACAAGCCCAACCTATACAAACTCCTGTTAGAAAACACACACAAACTTCAAATATTGGTTAAATTCCCACTCACCATAATTGGTGTCATCCAAACAGATGTTACGTAGGAGCGGCAGACAAGAGGAGTACGTCAACTCAAGAACAAGAAAGGCAGACAACAATCCTGGTGGGCTCCTGGGGTCTTGGGTTCAGAAGGCTGGTGTACACACCAATGAACTTGACACCTCAACAGTGACACTACAAACATGTATTTCCAACTCTGGAGAGCTCCTTTCTTATTTTTAGCAAAACCACGACTGGTTTTGATTAAATCAGCCCATAGACTGACACCAAAGGTAACACATAGCTTAGAGTTCACTATTTTGTGTAACAAAGATTGTAAGCCATGCTTTATTGCTACATTTCCCCATATTCAATTGCTTTCACCCACTTTTTCATATAATAATGCTTAGAATTATTTTTTAAAAATCATGCAAATTTGGATTGATCTTCTACTTACAAAAGTATTGATTCATTTACACTGTACTGATATAGCCACTTCAAAAACATAGCTTCTAACAGGCAAAGTTAGAAAAGCAAGTGCCACCAGATATAGTTTAATAACATGCAGGCACTGTGCCTGTATATCTAATTATATCTGAAATCTGTTGATACCTTAAACTAGCTACACTAACAGCAACTCTGGGGAGCATCGGATGAAATCTTTAACCTGTTGGGAACAGCTGAGTATTTTAGACTGTAAACAAGGATATCCAGGTTATATCTTCAGGCAGCCCACTAGTGCATGATAAGAGTATGGAAAGCCCACATCTACGTATATCAGGACTCTAAGCTCATTATTCTGTCACAAGTTCATAAAGAAGAAGTCATCATGTGGGAGCTGATATTGAAATGGACAGAATCCTACTGTACTGTCATATATATTATCAGGCAAACCACCCTGTGGATCCTTGGCTGTCTCTTGTTATGACCTCAGTCTCTTAAAAAGAACTCTTAAATATGCTGGGAAGTAATTATCAGAATGTTTGGGTACTTTTGTTCCTGAATATTACATAGTAGGGCTCACCTTCACAATCATTTCTTGTAATAAGCACACAGGACAACTCATTACAGACTGCTTCGGATTACTCAGGAGCCTGCTATAGTTCAAGTGGGTGGGGTCCAGACCACCCAGGGCTGAGCAGACCCTGAGCGGAGTCAATTCTTACAGTTTAAGTCGTATCTTGGTTCTGGGCACACTTCAGTTTTGCTACAAGTCCACTTTGCTCCAATTCAGCGATGACAGACATATATTTGAACTCATTTGGCCTGAGGTTAAAAGTCTCCACTAACCCATAGGTCTCTTTCCGATCAGTGGCATAGAAAAGCTGAACTTGATTGGCAATGCACTGTGCCTCGGCAACATTCTGAAAGGTAAAAAGAACAGTAAGGTCTTGTCATGAGTTCTGTGGCAACGCGAGGGTCTCATCTAGGAGTCACTGCTTCCAACTCCCTGACCTCCTTAGCCCAGGTGAAATGCCCCTTCTCTGCATATCCAAATTACCTCATTATTATGTCTATCACCTTTATTTCACTGTATTGCATTTCTCCTTCCCCCGCTCTTTTCTTATTGTTTGTCTTCCCTACTATGAGTGCCTCAATGTATAGATTGTTTAATGTAGTATATACAGTGGCATCTACTTAATGTGTGTGGAATATTTAATGCATATATTCTCAATTTTGGTTTTTTAATAACTATTAGATATATCTCATGGAGAAAAGAAAGGGTAACAGTCACCCAACTTCAAGAGTTAATTTGTAAGACAGACTAAATTCTTGACTAATCAGACACATATTGACTAAAACATGTTCTTAATACTACCTCAGTTAGAAAACTAGGTGCCAAAGTCACTGTGGTGGTTTTCAAAATTGTCCACAAATCTTTGCTATTCTTCCCTTTGGTGGAGCCCAACTCCTTTTCCTTAAGTGTGGGCTGCACTTGTTAAAACAGACTGACAGAATGATGGAGAATGACTTCCACTTCTTAGTCATAAATGCTTCTGCCTTACCATCTTCCTTGAAACCCATGTTTTGGGGAAAGCCATGTATCATGTTCTGAGGACACTCGAGTACTCCAATGGAGAAGCCTATGTGGCCAGGAGCTGCGGTCTCTTACCAATAGCCAAGTCAGTGGTGTTAGAAGTGGATGAAATGCTCCCATCAATCTTCAAAGGACTGCAGCCCCCTCAACAGCTTTACAGCAACCTCATATGTGAGACCCTTAGCCAGAACCACCAAATTTCTGACCCAGAGAAATACTGAGGTAATGAATGTTTATTGTTTTAAATCACTAAGTTTTAGAGTAATTTTTATGTAAGAATTGGTAATACACTAGTGAAGCCTCAGAGAAGAAAAGGGGTCACAAAACAGACCATGCTGTAAAGCACAGTAGCAGGAAGATGGTGTGATCACTCTGTGTAACAGAAGTGGGGGTCAGGACACTGGTGTGATCAACCGGTAATAGGGGTAGGGATCAGGACACAGGCTATGTGAAACCGTTTTGAAACCTTCAAGTGAAAATTGCCTCAAACAGTCTTATTTTTGTTTCCTATACATTCTGAAAGGAAGCTCTGGTAGCGTAGTTATGAATCGGGCTGCGAACCACAAGGTCAGCAGTTCAAAACTACCAGCTGTTCCACGGGAAAAAGATGAAGCTTTCTACTCCCGTAAAGATTTACAGCTTCGAAACCCTGTACAGGGTCGCTATGAATCGGAACCGACTCCATGGCACATAACAACAACAACAACAACAATACATTCTGAATATTGAAACATGATAAAGAACTCTAGAATATGGTCAGATATAGTGCTGGAAGATGAGCCCCTCAGGTTGGAAGGCACACAAAATGCGACTGGGAAAGAGCTGCCTCATCAAAGTAGAGTTGACCGTGATGACATGAATGGAGTAAAGCCCTCAGGACTTTCATTTGCTGATGGGGCACAACTCAAAATGAAGAGACAGCTGTAAAAATCCATTAGTAACTGGAACATGGAATGTATGAAGCATGAATCTAGGAAAATTGGAAATTGTGAAAAATGAAATGGAATGTACAAACATAAAAATGGACTGGAATTGGCCATTTTGAGTCTGACAATCACATGGTTTACTATGCAGGGAATGACAAATTGCAGAGGAATGGCATCACATTCATCATCAAAAAAGAACATATCAATATCAGTCATGAGGTACAGCTGTCTGTGATAGGACAATATCCATATGCCTACAAGGCAGATCAGTTAATACCACTATTTTTCAAATTTACACACCAACCACTAAAGCCAGTGATGGTGAGATTGAAGAATTCTATCAACTTCTTTAGTCTGAAGTTGATCAAACATGCAATTAAGATGTACTGATCATTACTTGCAATTGAAATGCAAAGGTTGGAATCAAAGAGGAAGGATGAGTAGTTGGAAAATATGGCCTTGGTGATAGAAATGATGCTGAAAATCGCATGACAGAATTTTGCAAGACCAATCCCTTGTTCATTGCAATATCTTGAAAGAGACGGTGGAAAAGCTCCATATCATCAGCCAAAAAAAGGCCAGGGGCAGACTGTGGAACAGACCATCAATTGCTCATATGCAAATTCTGGCTGAAGCTGAAGAAAATTAAAACAAATTCACAACAGCCAAAATTTGACCTTGAATATATCCCACCTGAATATCTCAAGAACAGATCTCATGCATTAGGCACTAAAGATCAAAAACCAACAGAGTTGTGAGATGACATCAAGATCATACAGAGAGAAAGCAAAAGGTCATTGAGAAGACAAGAGAGAAGAAAAACACCAAAATGGATGTCAGAAGCGACCCTGAAACTTGCTCTCCAGTGTAGCGATGCTAAAGCAAATGGGAGACATGAGGAGGTAAAAGAGCTGAACAGAAAATGTCAAAAGTCAGTTCAAGAAGACAAAGTCAAATATTATAATGAAATGTGCAAAGACTTGGAGTTAGAAAACCAAAAGGGAAGAACATGCTCAGCATTTCTCAAGCTGAGGGAACTGAAGAAAAAATTCAAACCTTGACTTCTGGTATTGAAGGATTCTATGGGCAAAATACTGAATGATGAAGAAAATATCAAAAGAAGATGGAAAGAATACACAGAGTCACTGTACCAAAATGAAATGGTTGATGTTCAACCATTTCAAGAGGTAGCATATGATCTAGAGCCAAAGATACTGAAGGAAAAAGTCTAATGTGCATTGAAGTCACTGGCAAAGAATAAGGTACCAGGAACTGATGGAATACAAACTAAAATCTTTCAACAAAGTGAGGCAGCACTGGAGGCATTCACTCATCTATGCCAAAAAATCTGGAAGACAACTACCTGGCCTACTGATTGGAAGTGTATTTGTTTTTGTGCCCATTCCAAAGAGAGGTGATCAAATGGAATGTGGAAATCATTGGACAGTATCACTGATATCCCATGTGGTAAAGTTTTACTAAAAGTAATACAAAAACAGCTGCAACTATATATTGACAGAGAACTTCCAGAGGTGTGAGCTGTTTTCAGAAGAGGATGTGGAACAAGAAATATCATAGCTGACATCAGATGGATCTTGGCTGAAAGCAGAGAATACCAAAAAGATGTTTACCTGTGCTTTATTGACTATGCAAAGGCTTTTGATTGTGTGGATCATGACAAGCCATGGACAACATTGCAAAGTATGAGTATTCTGGAACACTTAATTGTGCTCATGAGGAACTAGTTCATATACCAAGAGGCAGTTGTTTGAACAGAACAAGGGAATACCAAATGGTTTAAAATTTGGAAAGGTGTGCACCAGGGTAGTATTCTTTCACCATACTTATTCAATCTGTATGCTGAGCAAATAATCTGAGAAGCTGGAATATATGGAAGTTGGAGAAAAACGTGGCATCAGGATTGGAGGAAGACTCATTAACAACCTGCAATATGCAGATGATACAACCTTGCTAGCTGAAAGTGAAGACTTAAAATATTTACTGGTAAATATCAAAGATCACAGCCTTCAGTATGCGTTTCACCTCAATGTAAAGATAACAAAAATCCTCACCACTGGACCAATAAACAACATCCATATAAATGGAGAAAAGATTGATGTTGCCAAAGATTTCATTTTGCTCAGATCAATCATAAATACTTATGGAAGCAGCAGTCAAGAAATCAAAAGATGTATTACATTGGGCAAATGTATTGTACAAGACCTCTTTAAAAGTGTTAAGGAACAAAGATGTCAGCTTGAGGTCTAAGGTGTGTGTGACCCAAGCCATGATAATATTTTCAATCACCTCATATGCATGTGAAAAGTTGGATAGTGAATAAGGAAGACCATAGAAGAATTGATGCCTTTGAGTTATGGTGTTGGAGGAGAATATTGGAAAGTACCATGGGCTGCCAAAAGAACCAATAGATCTGTTTTGGAAGAAGTGCAGCCAGAGCGCTCCTTAGAGGCCAGGATGGCCAGACTTCATCTCTCATACTTTGGATATATTGTTAGGAGGGACCAGTCACTAGAGAAGGATATCATGTTTGGTAAAGTGGACAGTCAGAGAAAAAGAGGAAGACCCCCAGTGAAATGGGTTGGCACAGTGGCAGCATCAATGGTCTCAAATGTAGTAACGGTTGTGAGGTTGGCCCGGGACCAGGCAGTGTTTTGTTCTGTTTTGCATAGGGTTGTTGTGAGTCAGTACTGACTCAATGGCACCTAACAATAACAACAACATACATTCTACAGTTTTAGTTGATTAGAGGAACTTATCTATTATCACTATGTTCATATGGCTAAAACCAAACCCCAGAAGATTATGGAAAAATTCCACTAAAAACTGTCAAAAGTATGCTATATTTAGTAACAGAATATGTAGACAAGTTTATAAATACCATAGGCTCCTTCACCTCTATTCCCTCCCGTGGGGCTTTTAGGTCATTTCTCACAATCTGAGATTGGATTTTTAATCAAAAGGTTTTTTTCCAAAAAGCTGACTATTTCACATTAAATGAACTTTAGAGCTGGATGGGGCCTCAGAGATCACCCAGTCCTCATTTAATAAGCAGGAAACCAAGGCAGATGAGGTTCAGTGATGTGCCCAAGGTCATGTGGCTAGCAAGTGGCAGAGACAGGACCAGACTTCAAGCCTCTGGATTCTCAAGTAATAATAATCTTTCACTTCACCTTGCTACTGTTTCAGGTGGGGCCAGATAATTAAGACTCATCAATTAACCTTTCTTAATTTAAACTCAACCATGATTCAAGAGCAAACCATTTTTAAAGTAGGTGCATTTTCATAACCTGAGGCAGATACCTGAGTTGTAGGGCCTGTAATATCAACCTTTATCTGAGGCTTAGGGTAGTGGAGGTAGTGGTAATTTCAACTGTGTTTG